CAAATCATGGCTCCAACAAATTTAGAAAAAAAAAACTCCAATTTCTTCTTCATTTTTGTTTTACAAGTTAAAGGTAAAGAAGTCTTTTGACACTTTTAAATAATTAAAACTCCTTTTATTTTTATAAGTTTGGTCAAATGCCAATTGAACAAAATGTACATTAAAGTGACATTCCCAACTCATTTCCCCAAGAAGAAAAGGCTTCGAATGTATGTTAAAGTGAATAGTCTTTCTCATCCAAAAGCAAGCAAGACAACAAGGATAACTCGTAGGTTTCAAGATGTTTTTCCTTGTAGGTGGGTTAACTTGTTTTTCCATTCAAGTTCTAGCAGTCCATCAGCATCACATTCTTGAAACTTTTACAAGAAGGCTGAATCTATTTGTACAGAAATGGATTTTACAGAATCAATACAAAAATCTCATATAGGGTGGGCTCCATGTGAATAAAATAGTGCCAATTTCCCTTCTATGTCTTATCTGGGGGGTTACAGAACCCCTCCTTATGTACATGAAAAATGCTCTTACAAGAACATGTAATATACGGAATTTTTGGACGAATTATGTTCAAATGTTCGATAGTTCCAAAATAGTCACTTCTTGATTAAAATTTGACCAATTTAAATAAGGGCGAAATGGCGATTTCATGTTTATCACATGAAAACATAAACCTTTGTTTTGCCTTCATTAATTTTTATTCCATTACATTTTATTTTTTCTCTCATATTTTTAACTACAATCTTTTATAAAATAATATTGCACATAAATAAAAAACTTTTATTTTTTTTTTCAATCACTCATTTTTAAAAAAAAAAATACTATTCTACCCATTAATTTTTTCAAAAAATGGAGGCAAACGGGGGCAAAATCCGATCGTAAATAAATTAAAAAAAGAAAAAGGGAAAAAAGAAAAAAGCAACACTACCCGTTCCACCCCCATCTCCTCTGCCGCCACCATTGAATATGATTTTGCTACGAAGTTATAGCTTCAATTCTCATTTCAGCATGAAAATCAATATAGGGGGTGTTTGATAGGCATTTTTATATAAAAATGCATTTTAGAATAGTAAATTGATGTGAAATGCGTGGTTGGGAAATAAGAAAAAGTTTTTTATTTACGTGTAATATTATTTTAATAAAGAATGTGTGGTTGAAAAGAAGAGAAGAAAAAATACATTTTGAAAAAAATAGCTACCAAACGGGGCCATAATTCTAATTGGTTCCGCAGTGAAACAATACTAGATTCTTTGGTGGCAAAACTCTAGACTCAAAAATCTAGATTGATTAGATTTGCGTGTTAGGAGTTAGAGTGGGAGTGGAGAAGAAGCATATATATATTTTTTTATTTATCAAAATTTTTCTTTTTCTTTTTCTTTTCCTTTTCTTTTTTTTTAATCATTTTAATTCTTAAAATGAAATAATATGGGTGGAACATTTTGTCCTCATTAACAATGGTCAAATGAAGGTCTATCCTAATTTTTTGGTCTGCTAGTAGAAATTGAAGTGCTTTGGACAGTAGTAATCTGTAGGGAGTTTTTAGTACCTTGTATTGCTAGTTTGATTTAATGACTAAATTTGAGCTTAGGGACGGAAAGAGGTGGCAAGGCAATTCAAGCCAGATTATTCCTTTGCATGTAAAATTTTACTGTCCTTTATAGATATATTAATCTAAAATAAATGAATTTTATGCCACACCTAACTCCGTTCATATTGAAGTCTAGTGCCATTTGGCGATCAGGGAATTATAATTTTCAATATTGCTTCTCCCTACTTCACCAAGAATGCTGTTTAGACTGCGTGCCAGCCAAGATTTGCTGGATAATTAGATAATTCCTCTAAGGGGCTGTTTGATAGGCTCTATTTTCCACTCGAATGGTATGTTTGATGGGCAAAATTTCCATGAAAATTGGTTTTCCAACCCCCCCTCCCCCCCCCCCCCCCCCCACTTAAATTTTATTTTCCACTCAAATGGTATGTTTGATGGGCAAAATTTTCCATGAAAATTGGTTTTCCAACTAACCCTCTCCACCCCCATGTGACCCTTTCTTCCAGGTTTTTATCCCTAATTGTAACAAATTCTATCACTTTATTTGACGATTTTCAGAAAAACAATACAAAACAATACAAAACAAGAGCAAAGTAATTAAGTCGTTGTCTGGTTTAAATTAAAATTTTTAGTAAAATTTTATAAAAATTGATAAAGTTTGTGAATAAAAAATTTATATTATGAATTTCATGAAATATATAATTAAAAATGAGTTTGCCACTATTTTTCCAAAAAAAAAAAAAAAACTATTCCCAAACTCTTTTCAAAAAATAAAAACTAATTTTAATGAAAGACATACAGAGATCATGGTAAGCCCTTGTTTGGTAGAGGTTATTTAAAATCATTTTTAATCATATATTTTTTAATGAAATAATTTTATTCGGAAACCAATAAAAATTTTCTACTTTTTATTTGTGCATTCTCTAAAAAAAAAATCATTTTTTAGAAAATGTTCTAAAATTTTTTTTATATAAACACGCACTCTAACCGTCTTGGATGATGAATTGTTCATTCCATTATTAAAGACTAAAAAAAGTAAGAAGTAAGCCCCGTTTGGTAGCAATTTTCATCTAAAAAAATCAATTTTTTTATCGTTATTTCACTATTTCAATCGTCATTTTAGACTTATTCACTCACGGATGAAACCCACTTTTCTCTTTAACGGTCGAAAAATCATTTCTCATAATCATTACCGAACATACCCTAAATATAACATCTGTTAATGAATATTTAAAAATTCTATTCAACTTATGATTCTTCTTCCAAAACAAAATAAATTTGAAATCACTATGAGTAAATTAGATATTATAGGAGAAGAGAAACGTACAATAAATGCTTAAACTTCAAAATAAAAAAGATCGATTCACCTCTTATATGATTTCAAAGCATGAAAAAATTTTGAGCACACATGACGTGAGAGTGCGATGGCCAAAAACAGTGGAAATGCTTGTTGGAGAATATTGTTTTACACACGATAGGGAATGGAGAAGAAATAAATAACCAAAACAAGAAAGAGAAAAAGAAGATGAAGAGCTTGAACACGTAATTATTGCCCTCATACTATATTTGGCTTCTCTTGAATTGAATTTAATGCTTAAAGGGTTTTTAAGAATGATTTACAGGATTTGTTAAGCATTGTAAAGGATTTAATACTTAAACACTTGGTGAAATCCTCAAAAACTCGAGAACACATATTAGAGTATGAATATTATAGAGAAAGGTTATGATTTTTTTGTGGAATGGAACCAATGATCACAATTGTTTTTCAAGTGTTTTTGATGTGTTTACATTGATTATCTATATTCTATTTATAGGCATCAATCAATGTTACACGAAGTGGTGCCAAAACATATGAAAATCCACCTGAAATTCAAACAAAAAGGTCATTAACGGCTAGAAAATTATTCTATGTGACCATATAAAACAATCCTATGCGGTGGCATAGAACAAAGCCAGCATGTTACCATGCGACCGCAACTTGCATAGGCCAAAATTTTGGCTCCCGATTTCACTTTTCGTTACATTCATGATATCCCACACCTTTATTGATTTTTGAACAACAATATACAACAAAGCTCATTGCACAATTTTGTGCATGCAAAATGGAACATGTGCCCTTGTTCGGACTCTATTTTAGTCTCTGCTTGACAGGATTAAAAATAAAAAAATTTAGTGGATTTTTATAGAACTTGATGAAATGTATAATTGAAAAGTTTTAAAACCCACGAACAATGTGATTAAAATTGATTGTTGATTTTGACTTCAATTAAAATTTAGATTTTAATTTGTACCAAACGGAGGTTTAATGAGATTTAAAGAAAATTGTATTTTAAAATAGTAATTTTTTGGAGAATGTGTGATTAAAAAAGTAATAATTAATTTGAGTTTACGTGTAATATTATTTAATTAAAAATTTGTGATTAAAAATGAATTTTGAAAAAAAATATATATTTTTAATGGAACCTAAAACAAGGGCTAGGTGACTTTGATGTATTATTGCAAAATTTAGCCTCTGTTTGATAGTTATTATTTGTTTAAAGCAATGATTTGAATTGTGAATTTTTGAAAAATGCATAGTTAAAAGATAGAAAAAATTTGAATTTATGTACAGAATATTTTATTACTTGTATGTTTGATTAAGGGCTTATTTAATAGTGATTATGAGAATTAGTTTTTTAATTGTCAGAGAGAAAAGTGAGTCCTACTTGTAAAAGAAAAATTCAAAAATAATGACTAAAATAGTAAAATAGAAATAAAAAATTAATTTTTTAAGATGAAAAATCATCATCAAATATGTAAAAATGAGTACGTAAAATAAAGAATTTAAAAATAATGATAATTCTTATTTTAGTAGTCACACTTCCCGATATAATAAATTAATTCACTTTGACTGTCACACACCTCATCAGGGGAATCATTGCCTACAACCCAATAACATAGTACATAAAATAAATAACTAAAGCTAATCCCATCTTTGAGTCCCACTCTTTAAAAAAAGAACGTATTTTTAAACAATATTTTCATATTATTTTAAACACATATTTTTCAATAAAATAATATTACAAATAAATTTAAAATTTTTCTTATATTTTAATCATGTATTTTCCATCAATACATTATTTAAATATGTATTTTTTTTCAAAATGAGGCTCAAACAAGAGCTAAATTAAAGACTGAAAAAATTAAAAACCCGTTTGCCCTAATTTTTTAAATGAAAATGAATGAAATAATATTTTTTTGAAAAATGAATTATTAAAAAAGAATAAAAAAATGAAATGCAATTTAGCCCTCATTTGTGGGAAAATTAATGAGTGGAATTGTATTTTTTGAAAAATGAGTAGTTAAATAAAAAAGATTTTTTTTGATTTGCGTGTAATATTATTTTATGAAAGATTTTGTGATTGAAAATAGGTGGGAGAAAAATAAAATATAATTGAACGAAAATTAACGGCCCAAACGGGGGGTTTAACGCGAGAAACGACGGCTAAGGCACACATTTCTCTCTCTGCTCGGGTGATGGTGTTTTCATATATCTTGGCATCAACAAAACAATCGGAGTGAGCCACCGATTATAATCGGTGCCTGCTCCGTCTCTTCCTTAAGATTCTAATTCCAACGGTATATTTCCATTCTTCAGCTTTACGATGTCTTTACCTGTCCTGAAATGTATATTGTTTTTGTTTAAATTCGTCTTGATTAAATTTTCGGAGGGATTTTTTTCACTGTGAAATTGTAGATCATTGGTTGAATTTGTTGTTTGTCATTTGTTTCTGTTCGTAGAATTATTTTTTTCTTCGTTAGATCTCTGGATTTTTCCTTTTATTTTGCTGATTTCGCCGTAATTATCTGTTTTGTTGATATTATAGGTTTAATTTTATTAAGTTTTCTTCTTCAATTTTAATTCATCATATGATCGCTGTAAGTTGTTTCTTTTTGTGGAAATTTAGTAATCTATCTCTTTTTTTGGATGGACTATTTTCTCTCTTTGGTGGTTGTTCTTGGTGTTGCTCTTATTGGTAAAGAGAAGGCGTTGGGAAGACGGACGCCAATTATTGCTGTTGGAATATAATATTAGAGGAAAATGTTTGGTAAATATCGTCTTCATCATTGAACACCATATAATCACCCCACTAATTTCGAATTAGGAATAATAAAAGTAAAGGCAATTGTTAAATTATCCACACTTAGGTGAGTACTATTTATTTCTTAAAAAGCTCCCCTCCGCGCTCATTTGTCTTCTCTCGGTATATCTTCTACGAATGGTAGAACCTCGTTGCTCTAAGTGACCAACTATTATTCTACAATTGATGTGGGATTTTAAGAAAGTTAATGGTAAAATTAACTCATAATAATTTTTGGTACATAATTTTCATTGAACCGTGTTTTAACAAATACAGAGTTCCGATGTCAATATGGAATGGAGAAAGTACTAAAGTTTCTACTGCAGACTTTAAGGGGATCAAACTGACAGGGGTTAGTGACTATAAGCGGCATAAAAAGATATTGTACATGAGGGAATTAGTACTATAAGCTGCTTCTATGTTGTCTATGGGTCCGAGAATCAGGGTTTTAGTGGAGGATTGTATTACTATCCCACTGGATATCAGTCGACCCAGAGTAAATTTTTCATGGCCAGAAAAAGGCTGAAATTAGAGAGAAGCAAATATAAAAGAAACCTCAGTGACATTCGTGCAATCCCGCTGGTATGAAACTGTGTCTCAAATACCTCACACAATCTGAAAAAAATCAGAAGCTTTGTTAGTTGCTGAATTAACTCTCTTCAATGAATTGAAGGTATTGCACGATATATATTGTATTTAGTTTAAGTAGTCTACTCTATAAGGATATAGGATAATAATCCTTCAATCTGGTAGCAAACGAAGTTCTGTGTAAAAAATGACTAAATTGATCCTACCCACAAAGACCAGTTCTAACTGGCCAAAACCATGAATTCATCAATTCTAAGGGCATGTCAGAAATAGTTCATAAATATGGTAGGAAGATGAGAACTAAGTTTGGCTTGAGCCTTTGCCAGCTACCATGTAATTCTTTTCCGATTTTGTTTTATGTTATAGGTATTATAAACCGAACTCCATTTAGTCATGCTATTCTTGACTTACTTTACACGAATTTTTGAAAACCACCAAACTGGTATTCAATAAAAGAGTGATAGAAGTAGTAGTGTTAAAATAATAAGTTAATATACAGATCCAGTTTCTGAGTAGTTGACACTTGAGACCGTGTTTTATGTTCCAGTAGATGCCTGACTTACTGAGATAATACAACAAGCTAGTTGGTTTTGCAGATGACTTCAGTGGGTGTAGCACCTACTTCTGGCTTGGGGAAATCCAGCAGCCATGCAGCGGGGGTTGATACATTGCCTGAGGAGATGAATGACATGAAAATCGGGGATGACAAGGTGAGCACTTGGAAGGTGTTAAAACTAGCATTTTCTGGTAACACTTCCGTATGAGAATTCATAATTTCTTGAGATTGATTCATGATGTTTGATGTTGGAGGAGGTGGAAGCGACTGTTGTTGATGGTAATGGGACTGAGACAGGACACATAATAGTAACTACTATTGGTGGTCGAAATGGCCAACCAAAGCAGGTAATTTTCTGTAGCTCCTGTCCTCCTTTTTAGCTACCCTGAAGATCTGTCTTCTTATGAGAATTTTTGTCATTTCTGCTAGTCAAACAATGATTATTGCACCAGCAAGCCGCAACAAAAGCAATACTCAATACAAGATTGTAACTTTCGATTATTTTAGAGAAGAAGGTAAAAGGTATACCTTAAGTCGAAGGCACCAGTCCAAAAAAATTATGGCGCTCCAAAAAAACTAGTCTTCAAACCAATTTCATTGCAAAATTAACTCTGGTGTATTGTGATGTTCCAAATATTTGTAGGACTTAAGCTATGCAATTTGTGGAGTTTATATTGGATTATTAACACAAATTCTGCCCAAAACCTCCTTCAGAACACTGGCTGAATTTCTGTACGCCAAGTTTGAAATAGTTTGTCAAAATTCTGGTTCCAAAGAATGAATTTGTCAAGTGCAGGTTGTAATCTTAGGATTTAGGGCTGCCATATTTTTATGAAATGATAGAACGTGGTTTTGCATCCTGCATGAGAAAAGGGAAGGGGATATGGCATTTGACCAAGTGAAGATTTCTTATAGAGGAAATTGTTCACTCATACAAATATATCTTTGTTTCTCTCTCAATTCTGTCTTCATCAAGAAGTTCANCCTTCGTATCTTTGTTATCTTGGGATTGTTTGATTTATTAATTGGTTGAGTTAAATCTAAATCCGGATTAAATTTATAAGTTTTGTGATCAAAATGTCAATAGTTTAACATACTATTGGTTGTTTGGTCCCCAAATTTGTGAATTGAATCCTAAATTTTGAATTTTTTTTGGCTTTCTTGGGGTTTGTGTCATTCTTCTGTAGGTTCGTTAGCGTTCATTGCTACCAGGTTCACATTGGGTGGTATCAGAGCTTAGGCACCAGAATCAAAGTTATATCCCTTTATTTTTTTCTTGTTTTGGAGTCTTTGGTTTGTTTTTCGTGTTTTCCATTAATTTTTTTTTTTGGGTAAAAACATCCACACATCCTTAGTGACTTTTTAGGGTCCACCAAGGAAGGTCGATGGGGGTTAAGGGTTCTCCAACCATATTTATTTCATAAAAATCAAGAATACACGGAAGGAGGGGGGCATGAACCTGACCTCCAAAAAGCAGTGATGCAACAAATGAATGTAATAAATGAAAGCAATAAATGAGGAAGTACTACTTCCCTATATAATAAAGAATAACCTAAATTACGAACCTCTAAAACTGGGCAATCCATGTCTGTCGATCCGCACTATCGCCCTAATATGTCGAGGCAGTTCTAGTGGACCATACTCTAGATAGCGCCGATGATTCCAGCCTTCTGTAGCAAGAGAATTAGCAACCTGGTTGCCTTCTCTGTAGATGTGTGAAACCGTGTCTCTATCGAAGTAGATGAGGTCTCTGATCTGTCTAAGAATACCCTGAATCGACCATAGTCCTCCACCTTTGGTAATGCAGTGAATAGCCAATATTGAATCTGCCTCGAGCCAGATAGCTGAAATCCCAAGTCCTCTGGCTGTCCTCCTTTTTAGCTACCCTGAAGATCTGTCTTCTTATGAGAATTTTTGTCATTTCTGCTAGTCAAACAATGATTATTGCACCAGCAAGCCGCAACAAAAGCAATACTCAATACAAGATTGTAACTTTCGATTATTTTAGAGAAGAAGGTAAAAGGCATACCTTAAGTCGAAGGCACCAGTCCAAAAAAATTATGGCGCTCCAAAAAAACTAGTCTTCAAACCAATTTCATTGCAAAATTAACTCTGGTGTATTGTGATGTTCCAAATATTTGTAGGACTTAAGCTATGCAATTTGTGGAGTTTATATTGGATTATTAACACAAATTCTGCCCTAAACCTCCTTCAGAACACTGGCTGAATTTCTGTACGCCAAGTTTGAAATAGTTTGTCAAAATTCTGGTTCCAAAGAATGAATTTTTCAAGTGCAGGTTGTAATCTTAGGATTTAGGGCTGCCATATTTTTATGAAATGATAGAACGTGGTTTTGCATCCTGCATGAGAAAAGGGAAGGGGATATGGCATTTGACCAAGTGAAGATTTCTTATAGAGGAAATTGTTCACTCATACAAATATATCTTTGTTTCTCTCTCAATTCTGTCTTCATCAAGAAGTTCAATTCGGTACCCGGGTTTCCTTTCTTCTTTTTTTCCTTTTTACAAAATGATGAGGGGACCGATGTGTAATGGGCTTCTAGCATTGACTTGTTTCCTCTTGTTCTAAAACTCCATCTAAACATGGTTTATTTTGTATTCCAAAATAGGATTCCTAACACCAACAACCACACCTAGTTTAATTCTTATTCCAAGTAGGAATATCTAAAACCAATTAAATTAGAATAAATCAATTCTCATCTCATTCTTGTGTGGGGTATGAAAAATTAAACCAACATCTATCCAAATTAATAGACTCTGAGACCCAAAAAAATCCACATCATTCAATCTTCAATGATACCACCGGCAATTTGATCAGGAATCCTAGAACCCATAGGAAAATTCTAGCTCCAAGAAAATATCACGATACATAAAAATACAATTCTATTTCCGTTGATGATTTTCCTATTAATTACATATCATTTCTGCTAGAGAAATATGACTTATACGATCCTTAAAAAATTATAGAAACAGTGTAATCTTATCATGTCTTTGAGGTACTAATCATTTGAGTTGTCTTGCTGAATGGATTTCCATAATTTAGAGGTATTAATACTAGAGACATTTTATATTACTCCTTGTCATCCCAGCCTTTTTTGAGTTATTAATCACAGCCGTTACCATGCATATGAGTTTCATGATCACAACCCCATCAAATTGGCTTTAGGGATATCATGTCTCTTCAAGAGATGTCACAGTGTATATATTGAGAATTCATGTTCTTAACAACAGAAAGACTTGTCATCCAAGATATCGGAAGGCATTGACCTCGTTAAGGTTTCACTTGTTGATCTTTTTTATTTTGGAATAGAATATGAATGAGAGTCCAGTTATTCTCTTTCATCGAGAACACAATGTAATAGTTTTATTGAGTATTTGGACTCATATAAGTTAAGATTCATTCAATGAGCATCCTTTATTTCATAGATATTGGGGCAATATCCTTGCATAGGGGGACCAACTAAATACTCATCACATTCCTGCCATTTCGGGTTCTCTTGCTGAGGAAGATTTGAATGAGAAAATTGGTCTTGAAGTGAGAAAAAGAGTTGGAATGGAATCTAAAGAGTCAGCCATTGACCTTTCATCAACTACAAGATTGAAAAAAAGACCCTTCTTTTACTGACGGCTTCTGTATCGAATCTTTGGTGCATGGTTGCATATAGTCATTGCAAACTTGACTATAGACCACTCTTTTAGCCTGCTTTCTTGTTACTATGCTCGTGATGATTCCTCATCTTAATCTGGCATTTGGTTGTTACCAACTATTGATTCAACTACATGAAGTTCTCCCTTTTGAGTAGTGAGGTCTCATCAATCACTCCAATGATTTCTCTCAAGATTAAGGACGTACATAATATGATAACTATCCGAGGAAGTATTTATAGAAACATTTTTTCACTAGGTTCTATTCAATGTATTCCATGTGATGGAATACACCTAGTATGTCAAAGCTAAAATCTCATTTTATTGACCAGGACAAGTCACCCATCCCATGGAGTCAACATACTACAATCACTAGTGAGATGCTCTAGCTCACCACTGACTTTGAACAAATAATGAAGTCTTTTAAGGGGTTATGAGCCAATTCTCCTTACATTTATTCTCCACAATGGGAACTTGATGAGTGAATGCTCATATCAACAGCATAACAAAATATATGCATTGAATGTGTAAAAAGAATAATAAACATTGTTCAAATTCAGTTTATTATACCCTGGGATGAAATCCCTAACACCCATATCCATTTATCCAAATGCTACTCGTGATGGGTAAATGCTCATATCAACAGAATAACAAAATACATGTATTGAATGCGTGTAAAGAATAATAAATGTCGTTCAAATTCAGTTTATCATACACTGGGATGACTAATCCCTAACAAATGTGTCCGTTTATCCAAATGCCACTCTTGGTTTCTAAGGGCAATCCTCATAGAGCCTTGGGGATTGCTTACAAGGAGCAACTCTAGAAGTCAAAAGAGAGGGTAATCTTTGGCCCCGTTTGAGTCACTTTAATATAAGAATGAGAATGAAAAATATAGTCGTTATGGACCCCACACAAGAAATAGATTTTCAAATATGATGACTTGATGTGATGGATAACGGTCATATTTTTCATTTTAATGAGTAAATAATGGAAAACAAACAGGGCTTTATATTGTGGTTCCCATGTTTCTGAAGCTAGGAATTAAATTTTGACAGTTTTCTAATTGAACAAGCATTTCCCATAATACTCGCTTTTACAAATTCATCAAATAAATATCATCAATTTCAATAGTGATCAGAAGAAAAAGTTCAATGCAATTTATCTTAGGTTTGGCTGTACCATTTGACTGGATGTGTTATATTTTTGGGATCTATGCTTCTGCCCCTGCATTCTTTTAAGTTTCTACCCGCTTCTGTTGGCGTTGATAATTTTTGTAGTTTCATTTATTTTCCTCGACTAATTAATAATTTCAGACAATCAGTTACATGGCTGAACGAGTTGTTGGTCACGGATCATTTGGAGTAGTGTTCCAGGTGAGTTCTTCTGTTGCTTTTACTTGGATTTCTTGGTGGTTCCTGCTTATTTATTTGATATACTCACTATGAGAATAACCATAGATATCATTGTTTGATCTTCATTATCTAGGCTAAATGCTTGGAGACAGGCGAAACAGTTGCGATAAAGAAAGTTCTTCAAGATAAGAGGTATAAGAACCGAGAGTTGCAAACCATGCGTCTTCTTGACCACCCAAATGTTGTCTCTTTGAAGCATTGCTTCTTCTCTACAACTGAAAAGGACGAATTATATCTTAACCTGGTACTCGAGTATGTCCCTGAAACTGTTCATCGTGTTATCAAACACTACAACAAGCTGAGCCAAAGGATGCTACTGATATATGTAAAGCTTTACACTTACCAGGTAATTTGTTGATACTTGCTGTGTCTTCTGATACTTGCTGTGTCTTCTGCTTGTCCCATGCTCCTCAAAAAAATAAAATTGTAAAAATTTATGACTTTTTCATGAGTGGATCAACTTTCATAGTTTTGTTCTTTGAACGAGAAGTTTCAGGGCATTTGTCACTCTGTTCTGCATGAGTAGTAGTATATATTTGAGCTCTGTTTCTAAGGTTTAATATTTTACAGAATAAAACTGTTTCTATTTGGCAGATTTTCAGAGCATTATCATATATCCATCGTGGTGTTGGAGTGTGCCACAGGGACATCAAGCCTCAAAATTTGTTGGTATGACCAATATTAGCTTCCATGCTTCTATATTTTTTCATTTTTTGTTTTCCGTTTTCCATTTTCCATTTCTTGTTTCTCCTTTTTTACATCTTAGGGAAAACTTGCCTAAAAACATGAGTATTGTTAGTTATCTTTAACATGCTTTATATTATTCTCTTTGTTATTAGCTGCTCACAATTCAAATGGGATGGCATGATTTGAGTTTTAGGTGAATAGGAAGTGAAGGGAAGAGTTTTAGGTGAATAGAAAAAGTGGGCATTTGACGTAACGTTTTCAATTTGTTCAAATGTTTCTAAGCTTTCTTTCAAGATAATTATTTAATGCACTTTTGCAGGTGAATCCGCATACGCACCAGGTTAAATTGTGTGATTTTGGAAGTGCCAAAGTTTTGGTATGTGTAATGCTTTTATGATGATATAGTTCCTTTCATGCAAATAAGATGTTTGACAATTTAATTCCCCGATTCTTGGCAGGTCAAAGGGGAGCCCAATATCTCTTATATCTGCTCTAGGTATTATAGAGCACCTGAGCTTATTTTTGGAGCGACAGAGTATACTACAGCTATAGACATTTGGTCCGTTGGCTGTGTGCTTGCTGAGCTAATCCTACGACAGGTATTTGGCTGATTTCTCATTGCACATAATAGGTCCTTTGCACGGCTGTAAAGGGATTGTATTATCTGAGCTATTGTTGGATTTTGCTTTCAGCCTTTGTTTCCTGGTGAGAGTGGAGTGGACCAGCTTGTAGAGATTATTAAGGTGCTCTCTTGCTGATGCACTTTCTGATCTTCTAATGTTTTGCTGGTTATGTTTTCTTTTTGCATTATTGCTGTTGTCTCTTCTGTTATTATTTTGTGGAGGGCCCTATAAAGTTCATATGTGTGCCTGTTAGACTGAAGAAGAGAAGGGCTTTATATATATGCATACAGTTCTTTGAAAAGTTGTGTCTTTTGTAGTTGCAACTAGAAAGATGATTTATTAGTTGATAGAGTGACCTATGTTGTGTTACAATTTAAGTTCTTGCATATTTTAAAATAAATCTCTTATAATGTTTGCTTGTTTACATTAATCTGGACTAAACTTCTTGGTTTATTTAAATGTTCATCTGTATAAATCATTCTGTGATCAGATTCAAACCTGTTTTTGGTAGTTGTAACAAAAAAAGATGCATTATTCTTAGACGGATGTTGAAGACAGCCTTTAAATGAATACATATGATTCCTCTCTAATAGCTTAAGCTTCTATATGACTAGTTAACATTGTTTAACATGGAGTGACCAATGGTATGTTACTATTTTGTAAATCCATAAATCAAACTATATATCTCAGGTTTTGGGTACTCCAACCAGGGAAGAAATAAAATGCATGAATCCTAACTATACTGAGTTCAAATTTCCACAAATCAAAGCGCATCCTTGGCACAAGGTACTTGTAATTTTAGGAATTCATGCTAAATTTCTCTTATAGTTTTTCTTTTTTCCTTGCTCATCATTTTTGGTATGGAGTGGCGATTAACTACCCCAAAATTTATTGGGAATAAAGCTTTCTTTGTGTTATTGCTGTTTCATTCACCTATTATTCTTTGCTTTGCTTTGCATCAGATATTCCATAAACACATGCCTCCGGCAGCTGTTGATCTTGTTTCGAGACTGCTGCAGTACTCTCCTAGTTTACGTTGCACAGCTGTGAGTACATGAAATTCTTCCTTTTCATTAAAAAAATTCTCTTTCTATGCCCTTTTATTTCAGCAAGTTATTCCTTAGGTTGCTACTAAGAATGGACTAGACTGCTGGTGGCTCGATTATTTTAAGTGAAAAATGTAGTTATTTTGTTGAACAGATTGTCTTGCCCACTTCTCTCTCAGTCTATCGTGTCCAGGAATGAATTTATGCACATGATTAACACGGATGGAGTGCAGTATTTTATATTGTTGGATTCTTGAGATTCTATGCCTCATTCTGTAGGAAAATTCCTTAAGGATTTGTGTTCTATATAACAAACATTTTTCATACTTTCCAACTTCCCATTAGAACTGGAATAAAAGAATTCATTGTTGAATAGACTTTCTAAAACCCAATAATTTAGGTTCTAATTGACTTAGTAATCTATACTTGATTCTTTTGTGCGTATGCCTCTATTTTAGGGATTGAGAAATAGTACCCATATCTGAAGCTGAATGGAACCATGACTTGAACTTTTTCTCATTTACATTAAATTGTTGGTGCCTCTATTTCTCTACATTTGCTATAAGTTGCAAATTGGATTCTCTTTCGTTGCAGCTGGATGCCTTGACTCATCCCTTTTTTGATGAGCTACGCGATCCAAACACACGCCTCCCAAATGGCCGTTCGCTTCCTCCATTGTTCAATTTCAAGCCTCATGGTATGAAGTTTTTCGATAATATTATCTCACATTGTCTAAGCCGGATATTTTTGTTCAAGTTGCTGCACTCTTATTTTCCAGAGTTGAAGGGCGTGCCAATTGAGACCCTGCTGAAGTTAATTCCCGAGCATGCCAGAAAGCAATGCCCCTTCCTGGGGTTATGAACCTTCAAAATATGGTACAAAACATCAAGTGTTTTATATGTGCACCGCCTGTGTTTTCTCCTCTTTACCTTGTGTAGTTGGGTTGTATCTTCTCGTTTTATAAAAGATTTAGGTAAGTGCTAATGATTAGGTGACCAGACCTTAACGCGTATTATGTGTACCTTGTTTCCTTATCACCTACAGCTTTTGACAATATGTGGATAAAGGATTCATACTTCTCTTTTCTATTTTCTGGCAGCATCCCCCAAAATTGTTGTGTGTTTTGGAATTGGAAACTGTTGTTTATATATAATGTAATGGTTATGCTATATGTATATCACTACTTACAGATTGGTGCATATACACGTGATGTTGTGAGATATGATTAAATTAGAATTTCTTCAACTAAACAAAAAATGGAAAAATATTCTCCACTCTCTCCTTGATACCTCTTTTATTTGTAAAATTTTCTGTACTTCCTTATGTACAAGTAGCATTATTCATGCCTTGATTCACTATTATGTATAACGAAATGTAGCTTCATTGACAGCTTGATAGTCTGTGGCAAAACCATGTTGCACCACTATTTACATCAGAATGTAGCTGAAAATAAAATATCGAGACAATGAAGAATCTCAGTCAAGTAGGAAAGATAATGAATTGTCATCATTTGAGATTCAAATTGTCCAGAGTTGAGAAGCAAGAATGAGAGTAAGAATACGTGCCTGTTTAGTCGTCATTTTTTGCCCGGAGAATTCATTTTTTACCGTCGAAGTGTGCCCACTTTCCTGTAAAAAAAAGGACGCCCATATCATTTGACTATTTGAGGCCCCGCTTGGTACCTATTTTTGTAAGAATGAGAATAAAAAATATAGTCGTTACGAGACCCACACAAGAGATAGAAAGTCAAATATTATGGCTTGATGTGATGGATAACAATCATATTTTTTTATTTTTATTGCCAAAGAATTGGAATGAAAAGGGGCTAAATGTGATTTGATGTTGTCAATTACCATTTCTATCATTCATTTTTGTGCAAGTATAAAAACGTGGAGGGACAATTTTGTCTTTTTGATGCCCATATTAATTGCCAATTCAAATGGTCATTGACGTGTTAATAATGACAGCGGAATAATGTTGTGTAGTCTTATTAAAGTTGCAACTTCATTGTAAATGGACTGGATGATTGGTTAAATGAAATGTGAAATTAAATAAGTTATTTAATTCTAATTATTAATTAATGTTACATTAATGTCATCTAAATTGGGGTTGCAATTTTAGTGGGGTTAAATAGGATAGTGACAAAGGGACCTATTGTAGAGCCAACATTTGAGATTTTTATTATGATGTGGTGAGAATGCCCCCCCCCCCCCCCCCCCCCCCCGAAAAATTCATGCCTTGGCTTTATAAGGGACTAATTGCCAAATGGATTATTTCAACCTTAACTCCTTTAGTTACATCTACTCACTATGGTCATTAAAAGATTCAATAAATTATTGGAGAAAGGCTTGATTGAAATTGCCAGCAACATTCTCACGTGTTGTTTGCAACAACCACATCATATGGTAGTTGTTCATTTTTACTCCCCCCCCCTCTCCCCCCTGCCCCTCTCCGATTTTTATAATAAAGATCATGAGTTTCAACGAAGTTAGTAATTTGAAAATTTAACAAGAATTAATTTCACGAATAGTCCTTGACGTTTGTACAAATATCAAGTTGGTTCTTAAAGTATATATATGTTTTTATTCTATTTATTGATTGAAGTTAATTGACATTACATTCCAATTTGACGGGACTTTTTTTTTTTTTTTGATCAGTAAATGTGAATTATATTGATAAAATATGATTTACAATAACACCGGGTATTTCCGGGCAAAACAAACAAAATACAAATAAGGGGTCACAACCAATATAGCTAATGACCCATGGCTAATGACTCATATTGAATCAAAACATTCGGATACAAAGAAAACATGATTTTGTATACGTGTGTTTTGATTCTTTGAACAATACTATCAATATATGGTTTGAGATCTTCAAAAATCTTTCTATTACTTGTCATCCAAATGTAGTAGACGGTAGTAGTAAGTGCAATACACTTTGTTTTTTTATGCCAAGATGTTCCCCGACTGTCCTTTTTGATCCATTTTAGTGCACTAGGCAATGTAGACATTGATATGATCCGGGTTAGGCCAAAGTTGGCCGCATGGTATACTTCGGGGCCAAAGTTGCAATTTTCTCGCGAGAATCATATTTTGACTCAATTAATTATTTTTGGCAAGTTTATTAATTTAGGACTCTTAAATCAGGTTTTTTCCCCATATTTCTAGACTTTAGTATAAATAGGAAATTTATTTCATTATTGTATTCCAAGACTTTGATATTTGAGAAATTAATTCGAGAGACTTTTGCTTCCAATTCTTGTTCTTGTGTGGAATAAATCTGAACTTATCAAGATTCAACATCTTTTGGCGTTCAACAATTCGAGTAAGATTCAATTAATTATATAATCAAAATGTCCTTCGTATCTTTGTTATCTTGGGATTGTTTGATTTATTAATTGGTTGAGTTAAATCTAAATCCGGATTAAATTTATAAGTTTCGTGATCAAAATGTCAATAGTTTAACATACTATTGGTTGTTTGGTCCCCAAATTTGTGAATTGAATCCTAAATTTTGAATTTTTTTTTGGCTTTCTTGGGGTTTGTGTCATTCTTCTGTAGGTTCGTTAGCGTTCGTTGCTACCAGGTTCACATTGGGTGGTATCAGAGCTTTGGCACCAGAATCAAAGTTATATCCCTTTATTTTTTTCTTGTTTTGGAGTCTTTGGTTTGTTTTTCGTGTTTTCCATTAATTTTTTTTTTTGGGTAAAAACATCCACACATCTTTAGTGACTTTTTAGGGTCCACTAAGGAAGGTCGATGGGGGTTAAGGGTTCTCCAACCATATTTATTTCATAAAAATCAAGAATACACGGAAGGAGGGGGGCATGAACCTGACCTCCAAAAAGCAGTGATGCAACAAATGAATGTAATAAATGAAAGCAATAAATGAGGAAGTACTACTTCCCTATACAATAAAGAATAACCTAAATTACGAACCTCTAAAACTGGGCAATCCATGTCTGTCGATCCGCACTATCGCCCTAATATGTCGAGGCAGTTCTAGTGGACCATACTCTAGATAGCGCCGATTATTCCAGCCTTCTGTAGCAAGAGAATTAGCAACCTGGTTGCCTTCTCTGTAGATGTGTGAAACCGTATCTCTATCGAAGTAGATGAGGTCTCTGATCTGTCTAAGAATACCCTGAATCGACCATGGTCCTCCACCTTTGGTAATGCAGTGAATAGCCAATGTTGAATCTGCCTTGAGCCAGATAGATGAAATCCCAAGTCTTCTGGCCAATAGAAGCCCATCTAGTATGGCTCTGAGTTCAGCCTCCAAAATGAAACATGGGCCATACGATGCTGAGAATGCCCTGATACAGTGTTTTCCATTAATTTTGAGTCTTAAATCTAAAATTTTAGGTAGTTTAATTGTGTTTGTGTTTTTCTAAAAAAAAAAACACTTTTTTTACTGTTCACGGGTTAAAAATTTTTTTTTTGGTCCCTCCAAAATTTTTATTTAATTTCTTAGTCCTTCAATTTCCTAATCTTGAATCTTCAACAATTCAATTGTTACTGTAACGCCCCAAACTTAAACTTCGAGTGTCACGCACTAAACATAATAACTTCTGCCTTTGCTCCATGTAAGGACTCTTAAATAAAAGTATTACATGTAGAAACTTATTTTGAAGTTAGTAAAATATCTCTGATAAAATTTAATGGCCAGCAGAAGTACATGTCGACATGAAATTATACTTCAGGTATATGGACTCGGCGCTGCCACGGATAATTGGGGCAGCCAGTTCAACTATTTTTATAAAATTCATCACAACTCCGTTTTTCATGAAATTTGCGGCATTAGAAAGATATTTTCAAGTAGTTTTCTAGGTTAAAATATGGAAAATTTCCAAGATCATATGATATGGGCGTTTTACTGAAAACAGTGAGGTATTGCACAGAAAATTCATATTGACCTTTCGACGCTTAAAAATTTATATCTCAGGCCATGTTTATCCAAATTGAGTGATTCCTGCGTTTCGTACTAAGGCAACTCAAGAAGGAACGCATCAATATTTTTAGAGTCTCAAATGGATGTTTATAGAGTTGGAAATAGTGTTTTGAAGTTGACCCAAAAATTGTCCTGTTTCTGCCTCTTTTATCACTTGCAAGAAAAAGTCTATAAAAATGTCTTTTAACATAACATGAAAGATATGATTACAAAATTTACTTTTAATACCATATTACATCATGTCATATACATGTTTTTATATAATACCATAAGAAAAATATATGGAAAGCAGTCGTCGAACAAAACATACAAAAGGAAACTTTGATGTAAAATAACTTTGTCCTTAACCCATCATCGATTATGCCAGCTGACTTCCATCAACCCAACGATCATGGATCTAAAAATTTAGTATAAAATACTATGAGTATAAAGAATACTCAGTATTAGTAAGATACCATGCTTGGATTTAATATCTTAATACTACACAAAAGAATGCAATCAAACACATACTTGCACATTCCAGCTTGCCGGTGCCCTTTGCACTTGTCCTAAGGCATTAGTATATATCTAAGTTTGTGGACTTGTCCACCACATTCATATTATGATTTTTCATGCATAGCTTAAGCATAAATATTTCCATGAAATCCTACCACTTAAGCATAGAAAGTATCTTACTTTAAAACTTGAAATATTTTCGGTTGAAATACGCTAGGCTTTTGTTTCCTTTTTCTTTACGTATTCTTCCAACTCTTACAAGAGACTTTCTGGTTTTGGAAGGAATAAAATGCAGGGAAACATCTCATATTTATATAAGGCAAGGGAGACTTATGGATAAAACAAGGGATCACTATCTAGGATTTTTTGTGCCAACACGTGGACTTGCATTAACCTCACCCCATGCATGTATTAAGCACTTTAAATCCATCTTCTGCCACAATTGAACACCTCTTACTTGCTTAGATAATCACCACCTCTTGCATGTCTAACAATTAACACCTTCAGCTTTGGTTAACTATCAAACACCTCATGCATTTAATCACTACAAAGGTGGCGCCATCCCCCCCACCCATTCCTCTCGGCCAAGGATGAAGCAAAGGATAATGTTTATCTATAATACTAATAAGATAGATGTAGAATTTGACAATTATCCCAAACCCCTAATTAACTAATCTTGGTAAACTTTTAATCAACCGAAAATGCAAACTTGGCAACAATTAATAGTTTGGCCATATAAAAATTTTGAAAAGTTAAATTGCTATAAAAAAAAATTAAATGAGCAAATTAAACGAGCATAGAATTTCAGAGTATTACAGTTACCTCGCAATTTTACTCCGAGTAATTGTTTTTAAGATCATTGATTGGAAGCAATTGAGAGGTAAAGTGCTGAGTGGTGAGTTCAATTGAGGGTAAAGCCTAATATTGAGTGATTTTCGAGTGAAATTTTGGTGAGACAGAAAATCAGAACGGGAAGGATCCACTTCGAGCAGGATGGGAAATCAAAATAACATGGCAGACGCTATGATGCAGCGGTTTGAGCGCAGGATAATTAGTGTGGAAAATAGGTTGGACAGGCTAGACGCTACGGTTACAAACCTTAGCCGGAGTCAACGGGCAGAATTACCACATGCTAGGAGGCCGGCTAGATGAGAGCCTAGGGTGGATATGCAAAATGAATATGGGTATGGTAGTGAATGGGATGATGATGAATTTGAAGAAGTAGAGATGGGACGGATGAGAAATAGATGTGGTAGGTTTGAATGAAAGGGTAGAAACTATGGGGGAGACGATGTTGATGGAGGTATGGGTAGCATTAAAATGTCAATTCCGACATTTCGGGGTAGGAGTGACCCAGAGGCATTTCTTGAGTGGGAGAAAAATGTGGACTTGATATTTGAGTGCCACAACTACTCGGAAG